ACGATGGTCCACCAATTGGACCACCTGGTCCACCACGTGGTCCACGTGCTACCACTTTGAACGCTAGACTGTCTACGATGTGAGCCGTCCGCGCCGAGTCCGCTGTGACTGCTTCCAAAGCTCGTTCTAAAGTTGCTAGTGAACGCTGCAAAAGCCCACCACGTCCCTGTGTCACAATATCATTCGCCTTTGCTTTAAACCAATCAGGCACACAATGGTCCACCTATTGAACAACCTGGCCCGCCACGTGGTTCACGGCGCTGATCACTTTAACGTTTTTGAAGGCTAAACTGTCTACGATCACGAGCAAATCGTCCGCACTTACTGCTTTCAATGCTCGCTCGAAAGTGTCAGGAAACGCCCTACGACCCCGACCTCCAGCCACTCGTATACATGGCACAAGAAGCTCACGACGAAGACGACCAGAAAACGCACAAATTCTAGACGCTTAACTTTCACCTTGCATTGAAAAGGCCACCTCTGCTGTTGACGCTTCAGAATTTGCCCTTTCCCCTACTCTTCCAGCGGATAAGCTCCTCGATCTACCAAAAAATTCGTCTCCCTCCATTCCTTCACTGTTCTGCAATTGCTTTTAATATATACTGTCAATACTCCGCGCTGGCTGCTCGCCATCTTTCACTCCTACTTTAACTCGCAGTTACCTTCGCGGTTAGCTTCGCCGTTAGTAGTTAGCTCCGTTAGCTTCGCGCTTTACCTTCGCCGTTACCTTCACTGACTACACGCTGCTGATTGCTAGAGCACTTGTAAACTAGTACTCTCGAATCCAACGAGCACGTTCCCCAAGCTCGACCTACCCTAATCATTTATGCAGTTGCAGCAAGACAGAATATACCTGGGTAATGCCGGCAACGCAATCGCCTGTATAATGCCGACGGTGGTGTTCAAATACATCCTACGGTCAGCTCAGCTGCCCGAAAATCGGCCGGTCAAGTAGAGATGCAAATGTGCCAAATGGACATCCACCTATTCCACAGACAGTCCACATCGCTGCTATGCGATTGGTTGAGTCTCTACTTGTGAAGCGGAAGGTGCTCGATTCCCGGTGGTTGGAGTTTGTGCGTCTCTCTCCATCCTCACATCCCTCTCCCTACTCTTCACATAGAACTGACATGCAGTGCATCCACCGTGACAGCACATCTCACCCAGCATGGAGTCCATGGACGAACCAAAAAAAACATTTAAGCAACAAAATTCTCTGAACATACCAGCGACTCAGCGAGATCTCTCCAACACTTTAAAACAAGTGAAAGCAATTAAACCATCAACACATCACGCCAAATCCGCGAATAAAGCTCGTAAAATCAATAGTAATAATAAATAAATAAAACTTATCAAACCGCTTCTCACCTAGCAAAACCTACCTAATATACCGATCAGGGGGTATAAAAAACCACGGAAAAAAAAAAAAAAACAAAAAAAAAACCGGGTGCAAGTGTGAGCGTGAGTGGGTTGTGTGTGGTGTGTGCGAGAGTGTTGGCCAGAGCCACTACTGCTACTCGATGGGGGGTGAGGGAAGTAGATCGGAGGCCGCAGCTACTGGCAAAATGCTCGGTCTTTGCGTTAGCCGCCCCTCCCCCCACCGGCGCCCCCCGCCCTACTCCCTGACCATCGCCGATTAGGCTGGGGGGCAATATGCAACCCCGTAATTGTGAGAGGTAGCTACGCTTTCAGGGGTCCCCTGTATAGGCTTAGGAATAACGGCAGGTAGGTCACGAAAGGTGAAATGAGAGAAGAATATAGCTTAGTTCAAGATAGAAGAGAAAGTTAAGAAACTACCTACCGTCTTTACCCGAATAGAACGCCCGGTCATTATAGCTGTATTTGGCACATTTTTCAGCCCAGATACGGCGATAATTACCGGGCGTTCTATTCGGGTGAAGACGGTAGTACCTATTATAGGCCACCAACCACAACCAAATCTCGCCACGCATCTTCCCAGAAATCACACTCCGGGGGCGTGGTCCCACTAGCAAAGAGGATCGGATCGAATGCCTGCATCTGGACGTGTTTGTAGAGAGGCGCAGGAAATCGAGATTAAACTGCTTTTCTGCATCTCTGCATAAAACACATCCAGATTCATTCAGCCATTCGATCCGATCCTCTTTGCTAGTGGGACCTCGCCCCGGGAGATTGCCGGCGAGAATTCTAAGGTGCTTAAAWACCGWAAAAMAAAMAAAMAAAAAAAAAAAAAAAAAAAAAAAAACCTGTAACAATGAGTAACCAATCCTCTCTCCCAATAAAGGAAAAGATCTTTCGGTAAACACAAGCTGTGCACCAAAACCACGACAGTCCTCAACCGTTTGAAGATGAAAATGATCAAGCAAGCAAGGAAGCAAGCAAGCAATCAACACTTTTTCTGTTTTTTTGAAGGAAAAGCTCTTTCGCTAAACACAAGCTGTGCACTGAAACCACGACAGTCCTCAAGCGTCTGAAGATGGAAACAAGCAAGCAAGCAAGCAAGCAAGCAAGTAACACTGCCAATTGAGGAGTGTTGTTTCTTGACAAAATGAAGCTGCACTCTACCACGGCGGAAAGAATTATACAAAGATACAAACCAAAAAAAAGGTAAAACGAACCCTCACCGGACTTCGTGACGGTAGCCACAACCCATCGTGGTCGATGACTACGGAGCAGAGGAATGAGATGATCCAACTTGTACTTGTTGTTTTCCACCCAAATTCCATTCAGTGCAATATAGTCGATCACGACCTCGCTGGATCCGCTCGCGGTCTCCTCTGTCGCGCAACCTCCATGCGAAATCTTCTGCTTGAGCAATTCCTTAAAAGACCCTACGTCCATGTCTTTACCGCTGACCTCCTCCGCTTTCAGATTGATGAACTTGTATTCATTCACGCAACCAATCGACCTCGATATCCAGAGTACTGACATTCCACCATGATCATAGTCTATGCCATAACCCCTGACGCATCCAGGCCTCTTCCCTGAGCACCTCCCGCGCTTATCGCCTCCCCCCTCGGAGGATTTGGCTATGGAAGTTGAATCTCCCTCAACAATCACGCTCGAGGAAGATGTTACTAATTCCGTCCTTCTCCTCTTTCTTGAAGCCATGACCCCAAATCTTAAATGCTCACCCCCAAATCTTTAGCGCCCAAGGTTTTCTCCTCCACTCTCTCCTGTTCTCTCCCTCCTAGCTCAACTGCCTTCCGCCTCCCCCTGTTCCTCCTCCTCTTCTTTTCCGGCTTGTCCACCTTCCCCCACCTCTAATGCCTTCCTCACGGCCGCCGCCTTCGCAATCCCTTCTCCCACCACACCCCTCCACAGGTGACAGCTCTCGCTCTTCTTCATCGGCCTTCTCTGGTTTCTGCACCTCCTCTCCCGCGTTCTCTACCTACTTGACAACCCCATAATACCAACCGTCCGTACAGATACTGAGATACAGACGATGCGAATCTCTTCTCCGCTAACACACCCCAGCGTTCTCTCGTAATTGTAATGACGGTCTTGAACGCTCTACTGTAGCGTCGGAAAACTGGAATTCCCCTCGTGGCGCGAGGACGCACGCAGGAACCCAATGAAAAATGGGGCAGGAGCTTCGAAACTCGCTGCGTCAGTTCGTCGGTTCCAGACTTCCAGTTAATTAAAAATGGGGAAGGACCCTCGAAACTCCCTGCCTCTTGAAAGAATTTGAAAGATGATGAAAAGATTTGAGAGAAGAATATAGCGTAGTTAAAAAAAAAAAAAAAACGACGAGCTGAGGGCATACTCACACTAGAACTAAAATTATTTGACTTGGCGGTCATAGATTTAAGATAGTGATGGTGTGAGTACGCCCTGAGGCAGGGAGTGGCGGTCATACATTTAAGATAGTGCTAGTGTGAGTACGCCCCGAGGCAGGGAGTTTCGAGGCTCCTTCTGCATCTTTAATTGGATTCCTGCGTGGTGCGAGGAAGCGCGCAGGAATTTAATGAATAATAATGGGTTGTGTGTGGTGTGTGGGAGACTCAGGGAGAGTGTTGGCCATAGCCACTACTGGTACTGGATGGGGAATGGTGGAAGTAGATGGGAGGTACAGCTACTCGCAAAAAGCTGGGTCTTTGCCTTAGCCGGCCCTCCCCACCGGCGGCGCCACCGTACTCCCTGACCACCCCCTTCTAGCTACTAGGGCCGACCCGGCTGAGGGCAAAATGCATCCCATGAATTGGGAGAGGAAGTCCCCTGTATAGGCTTAGGAGTACTGGTAGTTATATAGTGAAAGGAGAAATTGACGGAATACTCACACAGCGTGGTGCAGGTTTGCGAAAGGCCAATTTTGAGGTTTTAGGCGCGCTGGTGGTCACACTGCTTTACAGTTACTAATAGGACAAGGTCCCGGCCTTCTGGAGAAACAGGGAATTGGTGCTTTGCTTGTCACACAGTGCCAGCCCTAGGGCCTGGTTGCACTACTCTCCATATGCCAAGTTTAGCGAGTAGGCGCCTGGTTGCACTTACTCGCCAAACTTGGTGAATGAAAAATGTGTCAGACGGCTCGCAACACCGTCGACACAAGTTGTGGTGAGTGTTTTCAGTTTCCCCACCTGTGCACGGCGGTTTGTGAAGGGTGGTCCTTCGGACCTTTCCACAAAGCGACTTCTTGGCGAGTGCACAGCTTCACGAGTGGAGATCAGGCAGACAATTTTTTTTAACTTTTCTATAGAAGAACTATAGCGGAGAGTAAGTGCAACCAGGCCTCCAGTTTGTCACTATTCTCGATTTTTTTACTCTGCCACGAATTGTGGTGAATGGCGAGTAGAGCAACTACGCCCCTAAGCTCTACCAACTTTTTTTTTTTTCTTATTTTTCTCCCCTGCACTCCGCACATCCACACGCCTCAACGTACAATTGAAAAGTCAGCAAGAATTTTCGTGAAAGAATTGTGGCAAATTTTCAAAGAAAATTCGAAAAATAAAAAGGGAATTAGAGGTGCAGTCACCTCCAGAGTTGACCGAAAATTCCCTTGCCCAGCAGCTTCCCAGGCCGCTAACAAATGGGCACACGAATAGTACTACTTTGGCAAGGGGTAATTGGTAGCAAGCGCCCACTCCAAAACCTTCTCCATTTTGGCCACCCAAAGTTTGGCCATTTCCTACTACCGGCCAAATGTCTTCCATGTGGGGTACTACAGGCCCTCGCGTCGCTCCAAGGCGCCAGATTCATTACAATGTAAAAGAGGCCGAGGGAGGATAGAATGAGGCTGAAGGATAGAATGAGGCCCACGGACCGTATTTTGAAAAAGAACGGCCCTACCGGTTCATGAATCTGACCGAAAAAGAGCGCCAAATTCAGGAACCAGGCCAAGGGAGCTGTGCGGTTCATGAATCTGGCCGGAAAAGAGCGCCAAATTCAGGAACTGGTTAAAACAGGCCAAGGGAGCTGTGGCCACGGCGCCAAGACGCCTTTCGCCCAGGCTAAAGACATTTGGACTGGTAGTACCAAAGGGCCGAACTTTGGGTGGCCAAAACGGAAAAGGTTTTGGCGTGGGCGCTTTCTACCAATTATCCCCTTTGGCAAATCTGTGTGACCGGCCCTCTACTCTTTTTTTTGGGAATTTGGGATTACAGGTCCCAGTGTGAGTATGCCCTGTGTATGTCCTCAGGGCATACTCACACTGCTATCCCAAATCTGCATTTTTTGTGGATTAAAAAAAGGCCCCATTTGTGGTTTTGGGCACGTTTGTGGTTTTGCGCACAGTGCTCTTCACACCTCTTCATAATTGATAATAGGACAAGGTTGCAGCATTGTGGAGAAAAGGGGATTTGAGGCCTCTATGATCACACAGCACCTGTCGTAAATTCGCTTGTTTATTCTCTTGCATTCTGCACATCAGCAATTGGACGCTGGGCCCTATTCCCAGCAGATGCTGCTCCCCACCAATAGATGGAGCCGACACCGGACCAGCTAGAGGTGACTGCTCCTACCAGCACCTCAGGCTGCCTCTGAGGTTGTTCTTTGCGGGAAAAAAAAAAAAAAAAAAAAAAAGCAATTGTCGCCTGTACAATTGACAATCTCGGAAGAACTTTTGAAAACGATTTCCGCCCAAATTCCAAAGAAAATTCGAAAAAAAAAAAAAGTGCATTTGTGGTCAGCTTCAGAGGTGACTGCTAAATCCCTTGCCCTACGGCCTCCCAGGCCGCTGACAAATGGGTACCCGAATAGTGCATTTGGAATTTTAGCGAAGCTGTGTGACTAGCCCTCCACCCTTTCTTTTGGGGATTTTGGGATTATAGGTCCTATTGTGAGTATGCCCTGAGAGACTCCGAAAACAGGAAGTCTTGCTGGGCGTGAGGTTGGGTGTCACAATGCGCCAGGCGGCCAGGGCCTACTGGCCTACTTTAACCCTGCTAACCCCCCCACTCCTACAGATCGGGCCCTATGGAGGGCCCGTGTGGGACAGAGAATGCCACACCTTGTTTGGGAGTATAAGGCGAGCATTGAGCAAGGATGATAAGTGAAACTGCCTTTAAATTTTACCCTTCCTGTATCTGGGATGCCCCAAAAAAAACAAAAAAAAAACCACTCATAGTGTGGCATACTGCGTAGCCACACGGGCCTGCAGGGTCCGTCCCGCATTCTCAGCGTAAAAGCCTAGAAATAAGGGCTTACAGGCCCCGTGTAGTTTCAGCCTGAAAGACTGAAAACGAGGGCCTGCAGGCTCTATGTCGTTTCAGCCTAAAACAGGGCTTTTCAGCCCTGAGGCTTTTCAGCCTGAAACGGAGGGCCCGAAAGGGTCCCGCATTCTCAGCCTAAAAGCCTAGAAATAAGGGCTTACAGGCCCCGTGTCGTTTCAGCCTGAAAGACTGAAAACGAGGGCCTGCAGGCCCTANGTCGTTTCAGCCTGAAAGACTGAAAACGAGGGCCTGCAGGCCCTATGTCGTTTCAGCCTAAAACAGGGCTTTTCAGCCCTGAGGCTTTTCAGTCTGAAACGGAGGGCCACTTTCGGGCCCTCATAAGATCGACCTGCCCTAACACTCAGGCACAAAACCAGGGTTTCGGGAACAGGCTATTTTTGGCCTGTTCCCACGACAGCCTCAGCAGGAGCTGCAGCGGCAGCCCCTGACTCCCTTCGGCATTGGCAAGAGCAGCCTCCTGGACTGCCTCGCCCTGCAGTCAGGAGGCAGGCCGAGTAGTACATAGGGAGTTCCCATGCACTTCACGGGGAGGTAGTTGGACGGAAGGCAGGAGTAGTCTTCAGGATTCGGCCGCAGCACTCCGGAGGAGCACTGCAGGAGTAGCTTAGCGCTAGCAGTAGTCTTCAGCGCTGGGCGCTAGTAGCTGCAGGGGTAGTCTTCAGCGCAGGGCGCTAAGTAGTGGTAGTGGTAGTAGTATTGGAGAGAGATGGCTGGAGGAGGCCAGCGAGACTTACCTGTGGCGCCATAGCTTCAGCTCCATCTTCGAGGTTCTGAGAGAGAGAGTTGTGACTTGAGACTTGACGACATTGGATCCAGACTCGACACTGGGATTCAGACATTTTGACGAGGGACTATTTGGGCGGCTTGGGCCTGTGCCGAAGACTTGGTGTTGACCACATTCCCATCTTCCCCTCTTCTTCGTCTAACCCCCCTCTTCTTCGTCTGTGTATGGTTGGGGCTGGCGCATTCTTCCTGTGTGAGCGCCAGACCCCTTCACACCATGGAATGATGATGATGATGTATGTTCGGGGCTGCATTGCAATATTGATTGTTCGGATCATTGGTATCTAAGTCTTCCGCTACGCTATCTTGTACTTTGTTATGAGAGGTCGGTTCTTGTTCTGGTCTGCACCGTTACAGTATGCAACAGTTTGGTATCGGAGCGGACCTCTCATTCAGAGGACCCGCTCAATCAAGTAGCCAGCTTGCTTGATCTATTGATTACTCATTAGTAAATCAAGTAGGACTTCGTCAAATCTCTGAATTTTTTTTTCGCAACAACTATCTGAAAATTTCTGATAATCGCATTTCGTTTTTCCTGAAATTTCTGATAATCGCACTTCGTTTTACCTGAAATTTCTGATATTAGTATTTCGTTTTCACGCAACAAACATCTGAAAAATTCTAATAATCGCATTTCGTTTTATCTGAAAATTCCTGATAGTAGCGTTTCGTTTCTCTGATATTTGCATACATAGCTGAAAATTTCTGATGTTAACATTTCGTTTTCTAGGCATATTAGGATAACGATAAAAGTGGTCATATTCTCGGAAACCGGATTTATTCTTTTCTGAAAATCGAATTTCCATTCTATCTCGCAAATTTTTATTTTTATTTTGAAAAACCGAAATCTTGCGAAGCCTATTAACATTTCGTTAGGCATATTCAGAGGTTACCGTATTCGCAGAAACTGGATTCAGTTCTTTTCTGAAAATCTCTACTCTACTTCGCAAATTCTTTTTTTTCAAGATCACATTTTAGTGAAAGTCAAAACTATGCGGAACATAGGCTAGATCTCGCTTATAGTACTCTTCTGACATGCATCATCCATAACAGATCGACAGATATAAAAAAAAAAAGAAAAAAAAAAAAAGGAAGTAGTCCTCTTTTTTATTTATTTATTTATTTATTTATCTGTTGATTAGGGCCGGAGGAAAGTATTGCTTGGTGGGCTGCGTTTTCCCTCCCACCCACCCCTTTGCATGCATTTCCGGGTTGGTACAGTGCCACATCAGCAGTGCCACGTACCATGACGGGCTCAGCTCTGGGCATGCCAGGCCAACTAGCCAACGAGTCCATTGCCGAGTACAAACAGTGGTTCGAGACTCAGCTCGCACTGATCGAGGCTGAGGAACAGCGCCAGGTGGCAGACATCACCTACTCACATCACGAGTGAACCCCACAGACTGTTGGTTCCCACCACCCACTAATCCAGGGAAACATTCCGCCGAGCATCCGTCATCACCTACAGGCAACACAGACATCCCGAGCGAGTGGCCCCCCTAAGAGTGCATTTGGCACTCCAAACGAGGAGCCACCGACTATTTGGCACTACCTAAGGGTGCTCAGTCGACAAAATCAGAAAGAGGACAAACAACAAAAGAAAAGACTGACAGACATAAAACTGATTGTGTGTGTGTGTGTGTGTGTGTGTGTAACATGAGATGCGCACGGGTACGACATGTCATACCCGTACTGCTCTGACCATGTCGGCACACCGCAGGCAATAAGCAAGGCGCGGAGGCAAATAGCAAACGCGGCAGGGTAAAGCGAGATCGCGTGTCCTTTTGTAACGGGGGTGAAATAAGCCGTTTTGGCCGAAAGTAAGTGGGCACACAAGACGGGCACAGGACGATTCAGGAAACGGGCGAAGGCCTGCCTTTCCAAGAAGAACGATCACATGCATCATTCATACATACAACAAATCTTTTCATTAATCATGCAAATAATTAACACCTGCGCTATACGCCTTATTTTTACAGGACCAAGGGGTAGATTATGACGAGAGAGGAGAGGAGTCAAAACGAAAACCAGAACAGAGGGAGACACGTAGCAGGATCAACCGTACATCCCATAAGAAACGACAGATGCAATTCGCAAGCGTAGATCATTTTGAGCATGGATCACAAGTCATATAATCATTCCGGTCAGAGGACAGAGATAAAGAGGGAGATAAGGAGGGAGGGAGAGAAGGCGAGAAGGAGAGATGGAGAACATGTGCGTGCCTACCCTTGACGTCATACATCTTTTATTTTTCATGGAGTGAGGAGAGGACAGGGCGGGGGACGATGATAGTAAGCCGCAACAAGGGTAGAAACGAGAAGGGAGAATGCCTTTTCAGGAGGGAGGAATATATGCAATATTCACAACACAAATCCTTCGTCGGATAAGCTAATAACCATCGTCGGCGCCATAGGCCCTATCTATCAACGAGCGAGGGTGGAGATCACTGAATAGGGTGGAAGAGGGGGTAGCCAGGTGAAGTAATAGGAGAAAGGATTCGTAACGGGAGAAAGAGGAAAAAAGGTTCAGAGCGAGGAACAGGAGAAGACAAAAAGCAGGGCCTACCATACATCACTTGAGAAGCTATAGATGCAGCCCGTTCCCCTAGTCTACTCTGAGCACGAATCATATACAATAAGAGAGAAAAAGGAAGAGGAGAAACCAGGCACGCCTTCCCCAACCACACACCCAAACGACATATACTCCATCTTCCACGGAGTGCAGAGAGGATGAGGTGGGAAAAGACGAAAGTAAGGTGAAGTAAGAGGAGTCGGAACCAGGAGAGAGAGAGAGAGAGGCCTTGAGACGAGAAAAACAGAATATCAATAAGAGGAATAGACGGGAAAAAGGAGAAGAAATAAGAGCGAAAAAAACGAAAGCGAAATCGAAGCGAGACCACCCATGCATCCTTTAGCAGGCCATACATGTAAACCGTTATTCCTAATTTTTGCCGACCATAGATCTCAAAAAGCACGACCATTCGAAAAAGGAGAAAAAAAAGAGAAACAACCTTCACGTATTACTGCAAAAATTCAATAAAGTCTTCAAACCGATCATTGCCAAAACATTCCTCACTGCCAAAAAACATTGATGTGACCCTCCGATCAGCCAGGGACAGGAAGGGGTAAAGGGGGAAGGGACGTGTGCGAGAAAGGGGAACGGGGGAAGTGGAAAAAATTGGGGGGGGGGAGGGGGAAAGAGACCCTGCTTCAGCGCTATCCTCAAGGCCTATCGTGCTCCTGCCTCCGCACAGGCCATCTCGCCGAATCGTAGGGAGGGTATGGCAAATCCCTAAAACGCTTTTCTGCCCCATGCTATCTGGGGCGTCATCAGAGGGGGGAGGGGGAGCATCTTCCATGGTCTTTGGAAGGTGGAGGGGTCGTGGAAGTG